GAACTTCCTGTAGTACTCTGTTAAACCGAGAAACCCCCTTAAATCCCTTAAGGATTTGGGAACGGGCCACTTGAGCATTGAGCCCACTTTCTCATGATTCATTGCCACTCCACCACTAGAAATTATGTGGCCTAAGTATGCCACTCTTTCTTTGCCAAACTCACACTTTTTATAATTAGCAAACAACACATGTTTCTTAAGAATAGCAAGCACTAATTGAATATGCATTTCATGCTCATGCGCACTGCCGCTATATACTAATATATCATCAAAAAATACAAGCACAAACTTACGTAAGTAAGGTCGAAATACCTCATTCATCAAGGATTGGAATGTTGCCGGTGCATTCGTAAGACCGAAGGGCATCACGAACTCGTAGTAGCCCTCGTGAGTGCGGAAAGCGGTCTTATGTGTGTCCTCCGGTCGTACTAGAATTTGATGATAACCGGCTTTGAGGTCCAATTTCGAAAACACCCGGGCTCCATGCAATTCATCAAGTAACTCATCAGTCACCGGTACTGGGTATTTATCGGGCACGATTTCTTTGTTTAATGCCCGATAATCTACACAAAACCTCCAAGATCCATCTTTCTTTTTAACCAAGAGAACGGGGCTTGAGAAAGGACTTGTTGAGGGTCTAATTATCCCCGCCGCGAGCATTTCCCCGATGAGCCTTTCGATTTCATCTTTTTGGAATTGGGGGTATCGGTATGGTCGGACACTCACGGGATTACTCCCCTCCTTGAGTACAATGGCATGCTCGTGACCTCGGCTTGGTGGCAACCCCTTGGGGTCCGAAAAGACCTCATTATATTCTGCCAACACTTTTTAAAAACTCAGGAACTTCCTCCTTCTCCCTCTTAGCCTCTCCCTCTAGATTTTTTAACTCCACTAGTACACCCCCTGCTCTTTTCTTAGAGTTCTCAACATGGCTTTGAGAGTAATGCCAGTGCGAGACAAGCTGGGGTCTCCATGAATTGTCACATTCTCACCACCTATTACAAAACTCATCCTTTGCAATTTCCAATTGGTCATGATTTCCCATAATTTCTCTAACCACTGCACCCCTAAAATCAAGTCTGAATTCCCCAATTGAAGAGGTAAGAAGTCCTCCTCCACTTCGAATCCCTCCTTCAATTTCACTCGTACTCCCTGACACATGCCTCGCCCCTTAACCGTCGTACCATTGCCCAAGGACACCCCAAACAAATTTGCACCGGTGACCGGAAGTTGCAATTTCTCTACCGTGCCGATGGAAATAAAGTTGTGTGTAGCTCCGGGGTCTATCATGACGACCACCGGAGTCCCCTTGATCATTCCAGTGAGTTTCATCGTTTTGGGGTTCGTCAACCCAACAATAGAATTCATTGACGCTGCAGTCGGCACCTCCTCTTCTTCCTCCGGTGCCTCCAACGTCACTAATTCGCCGGCTTCCTCCGCCTCCTCTTCCTCAACTAACAGCACACTCAACCCCTTGGCCGTGCACACATGGGTGGGGCCGGTCCACCGCCCATCACAACGGAAACATAGCCCCCTTGCCTTCTCTCTCTCCGTCAATCTCCGCACCTCTCCGTTGAACCGGGTGCTGTTCGAGTGACTCCGGTTGGCCGTAGAAAAGCTGGGTTTACTGCCTGATGCTACCGATGATTGGGCAGAAGGTGTTGGATTTGTTTGTGGTAAGGTTCGAAATGTGTTTGGGTGGGAATTGTAAGAGGTTGTGTTTGGGCTGGAAGGTAGATTGTGGGTATTAGAGTTTTGGGCTGCCAGTTCCAAGTAGTGTGGAAACGGGGCTCTTGTTAAAATACGAATAGGGTCCGGGTCGGGTAAAGACACCACCTGATTTTCTCGGGTTATGAACCCGATTTCTCTCTTCGACCCGAATGGCTAGATCCATAGCGTCTTCCAGGGTCAACGGGTTGAACATCCGGATCTCAGCTCTTATCTCCTCTTTTAAGCCATTCACAAACTGTCCCTTCATCAAGCTCTCAGGTACGTCCACTAATGGCGACGCCTTCTCGATGAACGACCTCCGATACTCCACCACAGTGGTGGTTTGCACCACCGCCAACCACTGCTCGTGCAGTGTGCCCGCGTTCACCGGTCGGAACTGCACTAACACACGCCCCTTTAAATCCTCCCACCCTCCGAGGGGTCGTCGCCGACTTTCCCATTGGTACCACCGCAAGGCATCGCCGTCCAACGCCACCACGACGGCCTGAAGTTTCTCGACCTCCGTCAATTGGTAAAATTGAAAATACTGCTCGCTCCGGAGTATCCACCCGTCGGGGTCTGACCCGTCGAACACCGGCATATCAAGTTTGCGAAACTTCCAATTTCCTTGACTTTTGCGGTTCTCGTTGTGATGCCTGTACTGCCCATTGACTCCCGGCTCCCACGACCCGAGTCGGATACCGTTGAATCCTCCTAATCCCAAGGGCGTCTTGTCAAACCCGCCCTACGGCTGCGGTTGTTCCACCTCGTCGTCCACCGGTATAGGCTGTTGGGTTGGTTGTTTGCCCAAGGCCTTGAGAGCGCCCCTAATTTCGTCCATAACCTTGTCTTGTCGGCTGGTGGTCATATGGACCTGTTGGGTTATGTCTTGCTGGAAACGGTCCATCTTGCCTTTTAACGATTGCCTTTCTTTGTCAATGGACTCATCCTGCTTCTTCAACGTTTGTTCAAGGGAATTTTCTCCGTTCCCGAGTTTCTCAACCATTTCCTCCATTCTTTCCTCTAACGCCGCCACTCGTTCCGGCGTCACTGTCAAGGGCGTCGGCGGCATGGTGGCTCTGATACCAACTGCAACAGACTCAGGTCAACACAATTTAGAGTCGAAAGGTTGTATATTCGATTAAGCTTCAAGCTTGCAAAAGGGATAAAGATGGCTTTAGGCCATTACTCTCCAAGTGTTTTCTTACAATTTTCTGAATGACCCTCTCTTGCTAGGCCATTCCAAAATTATACTACAACCACAATATAAAAATGGCAACTAAGCCTTAATTAATACATGTACTACTATTGGCATATTACTACTTTAAGCTAGTACAACAAAATACTAAAGCTGCTGCTGTCCCCCTACTCCTCTGCTCCTCCAACGGTGCTAAGGCTTGTTGTTGTTGTTGTTGAGTTGCTTTTGCCTCTGTCTTCTACTGTACACAAGAGTCACGGGTGGTGGGTTAGGGTGTATTGCACCTCCCTCCTTCTCTCTTTATGATATTGGTAATCTCAATAGAAAAAATAAACTTACATCATTATATTCAGTGGGAAGCGGTATAAAAGCTTAGGATCGGGGGTTTTATTTGAGTTCCATTCTTTATCATTGGAGTGTATGGCTGTAAAGACGAGTGGTTCTAAGGAGTAGGGTATGCTTCTAGCCTTTATAATTATACTTTGTTATACTTTAGCTTTCTAATGGTTGGGATGTGATTACAAGCTATTTTGTGTTTTATGTATGGATTTTGTAAATTAGGATTGTTTGGGACATAAGTTTCATCTTAATTTCTCACATTCAGAGGAGAATTGTTAGTTAAGGACCTTTCAATTAGAAGTCATATCTGGAGGGGGTCTTTCTCACAGAAGTACATAACACAATATCTATGATGTGTCGAATTAGATCGCCTGGGGAGAGAGAGAGAGAGAGAGAGAGAGGGGGGGGGGGGTGTGCTAACTTTATTTCAGGAAGGTTTTGTAGATCTTTGAGATTTTGGATGAGGGGCTACCAATCTTTGTTCAGTGAATGGGACCTCCAAAGATGATTCTCTTTATTAAGAGGTTTACACCAAGGAGACTCCTACATCTCCTTCCTACCTTAATTGTTTATGTTTTCTGGGAAGTTTGGTAGGTTTTACTAATGGAGTGGTGAAGATGCTTATAGGTGGGGTGGCAATCAAGCAAAATGGATGCATGCACACACCTTCCTTCGTTGTTAGTTGGCTCATTGTCTTTGGCAATAGTAGTTTCCTAAGTTACTCGAACACTTTGCTGTACGTGGAGCGTTGCGTGTCGGATCCTCCAATACTTCGACATAACATTTAAATTTTGTAAAATTGAGAGTGTGAGAGGATTTGACACCATGTCGGACATGAACCCAAATCCTAGTCTGGGCAACATAGGTTGTTTGGCTTTCTGTGAGTGGATTTGCCCCTAGTTGTATTTGTCACATGTCTAGGGAAGATGCGGCTACAATTTGTATCATTTGGGAATTGGGGCTAGTAAGGTGAGAAGTGTGGTAAGATTCTTTAATGGAGACTCTGTGGTGTGTTGATCTCGTGTAATGTTACTTATTAGCTTTCATATGGGTTAAACTGTCTGGGCTTTGAGTTTCGTTGTTATTTGGCTTCTGTTTGATAGACTTGTTCTTCTGTTCTGTGTACTTTGAATCTATTATGATCTTATTTCTTACTACAAGCTGAACAATGATGCTTTAAGAGTGTAAACTTTGATTTTTGTTCAGTGTCTACTGTCTTGCAAATATTGAAGCAGATTGTCCACCACTGTGGTTGCTGATTCTCCATACCTCCACCGCTGTAATTTCTGATTTTCCACTACCTCAACTACTGTGATTAATGCCATTGAGATTTATTATTGTGATACATAGTTAAATCAGGCCCAAGTTTCTGTTTCTGCTTCTGTTTCTGTTACTAAAATTAGATCTTGGAAGTGCTCTTTTCCTCATTTATATTTTGGGGGTCTGCTACGTAAGATTTAATGAACTTGTGCTTATAAATAAACCTTCTGTGGCTCTGCTTATTTTTATATTTTTATAAATTTTTAGCTCATTACTACCTTTGTTTACTGGAATTTCCTTGTGTAAGTGACAACAGTTTGGCGTCTTTTCCCAACTTCTGTGCTGCCGTTGTGCTCTTAGAAATTGATGGCAATTAGTGTTATGTCTAAGCTTTCTGTGTACTTTACTCTCTGTGCTGGTTTTTGAGATCTCTGTTTACACTTTTTTTTTTTTACCATTCCACAATGTTCTCAAACAATTCTTTCACGTGCAGATGGAAGCAAGGTAGGCGTGCAACTGAATCTTTGTTTCTGTAATCCTTATTTGTGGTCTCCAATAAGCTGTAATATGGTGCGGGCGTGTGACATCTTGAACCCTTGTTTAAATACTCACCGAAAAGGCATGGTAGCTTGTATTTTGAAGCAGCCAATGAAAATTTTCTAGTTTACAAATCTTGTTTTCTTATAGTGCTCTTTGAGGTCACTTTTGTATTACATTGGGTTATGGTTTATTTTCAACTTGGCATGGTTATTTTTATTATTTTTTATTTTTTTTGGAAAGGAACTTGGCATGGTACTTGCTTTCATTTGGATATGGTAATGTGAAGGTTCTCGTAAAAAAATAAAATAAAAACATTGTAATCTAAAGGTTAATTGAGGTAATAGTCTTAGTTATTAACTAGTTTTATCCCTGTGCAAATGCACGGATCATATCATATAACTAATATATAAAGCTAAATTTTTAGTCAGGTCATGAGACAGCGACACTTGGCGTTCCAACTTTTTACCAAGTGTCGTGTCACATTGGATATATTTAAATAGACATTATAAGATAAATAAAAAAGTTAGTTTAGAATTCTATTTGGATAAAATTTTAAGATAAAATTGCTATTGTAAAGTTTTATTTTCGATAAAAATACAATTGAATTATAATTTTATTTACAAAAATTATCATATAAATTTATTTTTTATATCATAATATTTTTCGGAGCAAAAGAAGTAGTTTTAAGTGTAAAACATACCTATATAATACATACTAATCAGTTAAAATAATATACTTCACAATCTAATAGAAATTTATCACCGTGTAGACCTGTCAATTAGGGTCAGGTTATGAGTCATCTCGGTTGGATCACTTCAGGTTACGAGTCGAGAAATGTTCAACCCTTGCCCAAAGTTTTGGGTTTGGGTCAACCCAACGGGTTTTGAACATTAATTTTATTTAATGTATTTATTTGCTATTTTTTTTTTAATATATTAAATCGAACATTTTCACCAACATTATTATTAGTCATAAAATGCCAACTAGATAGCAAATCGTTAAAAAAGCACATTAATTCATAACTAAGGGTCCGTTCTCTTACGTTGAAATTCAGTTCAGTTCAGCTCAGCTCAGTTCAGTTCAGCTCAATTCAGTTCAGTTCAGTTCAGCTCAGCTCCTAATTTCCTTCTCTTATAAAATATTCATCTCAGTTCAGCTCAATTCAGTTCAGTTCAGCTCAATTCAGTTCAGTTCAATTCAGTTCAGTTCAGTTCAGTTCAGTTCAGTTCAGTTAAGCTGAGTTCAATTAATGAGAACATGCCCTAATTTTGTATCAATGATATATTTAAAATTTGATATATAGATTATAAATTTATCTTAAAATTCAATAAACAACCCCAGCATTGCACGGGGCACAAAACTTAAAATTCATAACTAATTTTAGCCAGACGATGATGCAGCGACACTTGGCGTTCTAACTTTTCGCCAATTGTCGTGCCATGTAAGATAGAGTTATATCGAATTCAATTTGTAGGATAAAAAAAGTTAGTTTAGAATTTTATTTTCAATCAAATTTTGATAGAATTTTAGGATAAAATCGTTAATATAGAGTTTTTATTTTTTATAAAGTACCAATATTTCATAGGTAGAAATTGAATTATAATTTTATTCAAAAAATAATTACATTATAACTCTCATAAATTATCATATAAATTTATTTTTTGTATTATACTTCCTTCGTTTTTTTAATATTGCACCACTTGCCTTTTAAGGAAGTTTCACAAATATTGTACCATATCCATTTTAGGAAAAGAATTATTTGTGTTCACACTATAAATACCTAATATACCCTTGCTTTTCAACACTTACATTTTATTTTGTGTATACTATCACATGGGCAACTTTGTATTTCTACCTTTCTATCTCATCCTTTTTTCCACTACTAAAAAATTTGTGCCAATCTCTTATGGTGCAATAATAAAAGAACGGAGGAAGTAATATTTTTCTAGAGTGAAGGAATTAGTTCAAAATGTACCCCCACATCCATTGTTTATAATATATTTTAATCAATTAAAATAATATACTTCACAATCTAATATAATTTTATTACTGTGTGTAGACCTGTAAATCAGGTCGGGTCACCAGTTATTTCAGTCAGGGTTATTATTTCAGGTAACGAGTCAAGAAATATTTTTCACCAATATTATTATTATTAGTCATTACATGTCTACAAGTTTAAATCGTCACAAAAACACATCAATTCCTAACTAATTTTGTATCAATGATATGTTTTAAAATTTGATATATAGATTAAAAATATATTTTAAAATTCAATAAACAACCCGGGCATCGCACGGGGCACAAAACTAGTTTATAATAATAAGACTTACAAAAAATAAAAGTGTTATGAAATATAGTGTGGATAACCATTTTACTCTCTATATCATTCTGGAATATTCTAGATTTAAGATTTATTCTTATCTAAACATATTTGTGGATGTCCATCTTGTATCATTCTAGAACTTTCTAGATTGGTTAGCATATATATATATATATATATATATATATATATACCTTCATCATATAAAATAAAAAAAATTTGTCAAAAAAATAAAAAAGAATATACGGATCAATTCCCTTTCAATTCTTATATTTTTCCTTATTTTACAACACGTTATAGCACCATTCCTAACCAATTGAGTGAACGAGGGATATTAGCAGTTGGAAAGCCCCCAAAAAAAAAAAAAAAAAAAAAAAAAATTATGAACTCTGCTTTGACGTTGCTTTTTCTTTGGTGAAAAAGGTTATTTCTATATTCCTTTTATCTTTGTTGAATTATGATATGATATTAAAGCTTTAATACATTGTTAATATGATTGCCCCAAATTATCGTTGAATTCGATCAGGTTATCTGTACACTCCGGCTCACTGTATAATATATATGATTGAATCTGCCTTATAACATTGGCCTACTTTATCTTTCTTTACTAGGTAGCCAATTATGAATATATAAGGTTAAGATTTAATATTTAATGAGAACAATAAATTAATTAGATCCTTCGTGAATTAATACCCAGAATTTAAGATTTATTTTGCTGGAAATTGTACTCGTAAAGTCGTAAGTAGCATACATGTAGTTTTACCGTTTTGATTAATAGTTTGCTATATCTTGATTGATATGAAATCTTTGAATTACTATCTACCATAGATTTATAGATAGTATTATTTTGATAATCTGATCTTTATATACTTTTTAATATTAATCATTTGTCTTTTACTAATACATTAAATCAATTAATTTATGTATTATGCTATTGTAATACTCTAATGGTTTGTTCTAATTAGTATAAATTTTAATAATTTTGTGACGGTTCGGTATATATAAAGTGCAAATTAGGACTGAAGATATACTTTACACTGAGCACCATATTGTGATAAATATGTATTTACTTGTCTTGCGGCATAAGACCTTACTTGTGAAAGAAAACTAGTATTTTTTTGGTGATAATTTTGAAGAGTAAAAGATGTATTTTAGTTTGATTTTCCTAGTTGTCCTTACTTGTCTTACGGCCCAATGTTTTACTTGATGATATTGTGTATATACTGCATCAAATGCAAAGAAACAATAATAGACTATAGAGAATTATCTCTTATTAATTTGCATCGAATACTAACATATACTTCATATTACTTTTGTGAATTATATATACATGTTGTATGAATATGAACTTAAATTATGCATGGTCACTAAAATAATACCACTATAAATTAGACACCCCACACATGCTTAAATGGTGATTTGTGAGTTCAACAGTTACATGTTTATATTATGCATGCTAACTTTAATATTGCATATGCATTACAGCTAAATATATATGATTCTGATTCCCTTTCACAAGCCTATGATTTTTGACTAGATGTCAACACTCTTTCTTTTTCTAGCTGACCTCAAATTATGTTATCACAATCTATCTTGTTTTTCTACCTGCAATGTTGAAATTCTTTTATTTTTTTAATTAGATGGGAAAGGATTTGATTGATGAACAATAGTTTGTGATGACAATAATGACTATTGCATTAGATGTATTAGATATTTACGAAATGATCGATCTAGACATATAACGTCTAGTAACTTGCAATCTAATACTATATAATTACATATCTTTTTCCATTTCTGGGACTTGAAGTTTCAAATATTGTTCTTTTAGTACTTTGAACTATCTCATGTACATGCATTATAATTGACATTAATTAATTTGGTATGTACCATATATGATAATATTGTCAGTAACCTTATGAGTGGAACCTATGATGAAACATATTGCCACTTTCAATGTTGAAATAATTATTGATGTGTGATTTGAATATGATTACATATATACTATTATATGCCTTCATGAAGTTGGATTATATAAAAATGATGAATAAGTTGATCATGAAATACTCATACATATGAACCTTAAGTTGCTTAAATCTATGAAGGTTTACAAACCCTCAAAAATAATATGAAGATACATATATGACTTAGAAATTTCTATTACTTTCACAATGCTAATGTGATTTTATAAACATAGTATCATGAGAAAGAATATACAAAAGTTTTGAATAGTATATAGAACTCAGGGTCAAAAAAATTGATGATTTATAAATTACTATATTTACTCACTTTCAGAAGTGAATGAGAATTTGTATGATTGGAAAGAAGCATGTTTGCATGATGTTTTTGTTATTAAATCATTGACAACAAGTTCTATTAGAATTACAAACATTATTATATATCAACTATTTGACCGATAAATAATTTTTATGAGTTTATGAAATACAACATGACATGAAATTGTGAGCAACTTTACTAGATCAGTAAAATTATTACATGATTTTTACAAGAGAAATTTAACTTTGATTGATACATGATATAGTTAACTTAAAAGGAGCGAGGGATTTAAAGATTGTTGGACTATTTTTATACCCCTATATGCAAGAATTAGGAGGAGATAGTGTTAATTCCATTGTTTTTATGTTATTCTTGTACATGAATAATTAAATATGTTGATGGTCAATTTAGTACATACACTAGCTTAAATATCAATGATTTATTTCATAATAGAAGTGACCACATGATAACCAAATATTTAGAATGATGACATTTTGAAGATAGATATGAATAAATGTCATTGCCCATACTAGCTATAAATGTATATATAAGTTGATGTCCTAGAAGGATAAGATCAGTTGCTATTGAAACTACACACCTGAAGTGTGGTAATCCAAAGAGTTACAACGATAAGAATCCTTAGAAGAGGAAAGGAGTAATAATTGACAATGACAAAT